AAAAAAAAAGAAGTAGTTTCCCCACAAATTTTTTCAATAACTTATCTATTTATTCACTTTCATACCTTTTTAAATGATATTGATCAGAAAAAAGACATGTTCTGTTCATGCCAGTATGACATATTTTGTTAATAAATGCCCATTGCATTATTTTTTTCTGATAATTTTTTTGACATTACTGCTATGAGAATTTTTTTAAGAAACGATTTTCAATATAATATGATATAATACACAGTGTTCAATCTAACATGAATTCCCAGGGGACCCTTTGTGCACAAACTCATCATCAGGGGGTCATTTGAGAAAAAAGGGGGCCCACACCTAAATGAACATAAAATTCAAATAAGGTATTATATTTTACCTTTTAACTTACTTGTTCGCACAACTGATAATATGTACCGTATATCCTTTATCTTTTGTAATTCTATCCAAACTTTAGTTTTAATTCAGTCTTTATTGATATTATTCACAAGAAACCTATTATATTGAGTGCGCTGTCGGGCCCACAGTTGAATTTGTTTTACACCGGCAGTCTTTTCAAGGGGTCAATGGCGTGCTCTAGATTGAACACTGAATTCATATTTAATTGATTGCCCACTGATTCACCAGCAGCCACCAACAACATTGGTGAGCTAAAAACAGAAGTTAAAAGCTTGGACAAGAACAAAATATGTTTGTCTCTACTCTAAATCTCCAAACTTATTTTGTCAGACAAAAAACAACAATATCAGAATAACAAACTTTTACTATACAGTATACACCAATAAATACAGTGCTAGTAATTCAGTTATTTAACTATCAGGAGATTAGATTAATATCTGTTGTCCCTGATTTTAACACGAAATTAGAAATGCAAAGCCATTTTTAATCAAACTATATTGCCTTAGTTTTTTTTTGCCAAGGGTATTAGTATTTGTTAACAAATTTTTTCTTCATATACATGTATTGGCATTATTGCTTACATTTGCTTGTACATGATTAAGAAGTGCTTATAACTTTGTGAAGTTATGGCAAAGACAATTTCTTAAAATATTTCTTTTCTCTTTTTTTATAAAGAGATTTTTTCCCAATCAATAATTTCATGTCCGAATAAATGACATCCGAAATCAGATCTATTTCAGACAACAGTGACACGTATATTTTGGTTATTATTATCAGTGTGATTTATAGGGGTGTGGATCGTCAGATAAGTGGTGATCCGATCCGAACCACAATTCAGCACTTACGATTCACAAATCGAACCACAAATCTTTTGTTATCAAGACACCCATAAAAACATGTACATAAGTTACAAAAACATGTTTATTTAAAAAAACAATACTAAACATTAAACATATAAAATATAAACTAGGTTTATGTTTTTATTCTTTGGACGAGTATTTTTTTTAAAACCAATTACTTCCTAGCTCAGCATCATGGTACATGGTCTTTAACCGGCAAGTTGTTTTTAGGTAAACTTCATATAATTTATCGTATTTTTCTTGATTTTATGAGTGTGAGAAACAGTGAATGTATATAAAACTAGAAATGTGTCCATAGGACACGGGTGCCCCCACCGCGCCACTGTTCTGTCAATCTTTTTACTAAGTCAAGGGAAATAACTCTACAAATACTGGATAAATCCACAAGCGAAACCCCAGGTGCAAATCTAAATATTCTGAGCAACCTGCCCATAAGGTTTAATGACTATGTCAAATCCTTTTTGAGTAACTTGCGACACAAGTTGAAAATATTGCAAAATTTTCTAAGTGAAGGGCAATAACTCTAAAAATACTAAAAAAATCCAGACAAAAATCCCTGGTGCACAACTGCACATGCTGATCAATATTCCTGTAAAGTATCATGACTCTAGGTCAAATACTTTTTGAGTTACGTGCGACACTGTGTCACACATGTTGAAAATTGCAAAATTTTACTAAGTCAAGGGCAATAACTCTGTAAATACTAAAAACATCCAGACGAAAATACCCAGGTGCACAACTACACATGCTGATCAACATTCCTGTAAAGTTTCATGACTCTAGGTCAAATACTTTTTGAGTTACGTGCGACACAAGTTGAAAATTGTAAAATTTTACTAAGTCAAGGGCAATAACTCTGAAAATACTAAAACTATCCAGACGAAAATACCCAGGTGCACAACAACACATGCTGATCAACATTCCTGTAAAGTTTCATGACTCTAGGTCAAATACTTTTTGAGTTACATGCGACACAAGTTGAAAATTGCAAAATTTTACTAAGTCAAGGGCAATAACTCTGAAAATACTAAAAATATCCAGACGAAAATACCCAGGTGCACAACTACACATGCTGATCAACATTCCTGTAAAGTTTCATGACTCTAGGTCAAATACTTTTTGAGTTATGTGCGACACAAAAGTGAACAGACGGACGGACAGACGGACAAGGGTAAATCTAAATGCCCGCCACTAACGTGGGGGGCACAAAAAATAGATCGCGATCCACAGTCTCTGGGCTTACAAATATTCAAACTCGATTTTTCACTTTGATTCGTGATTATCCGAGTACTCGGATACTCGCCCCAGCCCTAGTGATTTACATCAATCAACAATTTTCAAATCATATTCTTTTAAGTTTAAACCCTTGAATAGGTTCCAATATGAGCAAATATTTTCATTGAAATGTTTAATAGACAAAGAATTCTATTGAAGTAGGCTGGAAAAATCGGCAATTAACTTAAGTTGGACTTCCGGTTTCACTTTTCGCAAGTTTATAGAGATTAAATAGAATCTATTATGCGCCTGCTGTTACTGACACTGATTGTTAGGTATATTAAGAAAATATGCGACATGCTTGGATAGATAAAATTGGTTTGTTTATTAAATAATGATATTGATTTCTTAAGGGATGTCTGGGAGATTAACAGATGACACAATTATACCTCAGTGGTTGAAGGCATGTCATGCGCTTAATGATGAAATTATCTTTCGTTTTGAATCATAGCCTAAAAATTGTTATTTTATTATTATTTTTAGTGAATTTAGAGACATCAGGTCACTGAAATTTTGAGTAGCCCGCCGGGACACCCAGCTTGGAAACTCGGTAGTCCTTGAGCAAAATAGGTAGCCTCAGGCTAACGGACCATCGTTAGTGTCGAGCACTGAACATCTACGAGATGAAAAGGCCGAAACGACCGGACGTCTAGGAGCAGAAATGTCCCGTCACCATCTGTATGTTGAACAATGTATTATGTAGGAATATATAATAGAGATTAACTTTATCGTATATTTAAGTAGAAGTCACTGTATAAGTTGATCTGATTTCTTCAACAACTAGTAATCTACATGGATCTGAGGTCACCAACTTTTTTGGCTCTTTTAACTGAAAATCAATTAACCATTCATGCATTTCTAGTAACCAAACAAAATAAATAAAAAAATTGACAGAAATCTATAATAACTTAAATAAGATTTATTTTGTTGCAGTATCAGGACAAGTCACTCATGTCACTTAGGACAATGGAAGTTGGAAGGCATTTGTCTTGTGTTTTACATAGTAGACTGTTATATTTCTGACAAATTGGCTATCTGAAAACGTATTAAATTGACATCATCATCATAAAATTATTATCGGGTTATCATCATGGCACACTGGTTAAGATGCAACTGAAAATACACATTAAACCGGAAGAGATACTCGGCCGCCATTTTCTGTCAGATTCCACTTTTTATCATATAGAAATTTGAGGGTAAATAAACATGGTTTCCTGATTCTTATTTCCCACTTATTATCATGACGAGTTATAACACATTTTCGAAAAATCTAATTAATTCCACGAATAAACCTAACCTTTGTAAAATCCACAGGGTGTAACACAATTTCTGTCAAAATTATTCACGGTGAGACCGGATACGTCTTTGCGCCTGCGTGCTTTACTTGTCTTCCTTCCTGTACGATATCTATATTTAGATGTCTATTTTTAGTAACGACTCTTCACAATGAAAATTGACAAATAACTTGAAAACTAAATAGATATCGTCTATATATATATGAAAGATATGTTTTCTAAATATAGCAACAATATTGGCTACTAAAAATAATAATTTTCGTAAATATATTCGATCTATAGTCTGTATAGATCTACATAAAAATTATTTTCGCAATGATTTAAAAAAAAATGGAACTTAACATTCCTGATTTGCAATACATTGTATATCGCGTACTAGATCATCTCCGTGTTAACGGGAATGATCTTCCACTAAAAAGAATCCATATCTTTCCCCTGAGATAATAATCTTATGTCCCAGCTTTCCCTTACATGTAGCCGGCTACTAGTAACACTTTAATTGCGTTTAGAAGAAAAGATGTACATGTATATATCTATAGTCTACGCGCAATCATAAAAAAATGCATGTAGCCTCTATTTTCTCAACTATTTTCAAATTAGGCTACGTAATGAAAAGCAATTAACTTCATTGTCCCTTTTCTTTGTATATAAGACATTTGTACACTGTAAGCTAAACATACGTTGTTTTTAAGCTTAACAATATTTGTATTTATAACAGTAATTAAATAAGAAAAAAAAACAGGCCGCAATTGATCAAAATTTTGGCAAGCTTTAACAATATGTTCACACGGAAGTATCCAATACTGATCAACATTATCCGTAGTTTGGCGGAAATGGTCGAGAAGTTACGATTGGCAATCAATATGTTACCATGCAACTACTCGGCCCTTTCCGTCAGTCTTTCCGGATAATAGCCGAGGCAGTTCCGAATGTATTGCTACCTGCAAATAATATTACGGAAAAAGCCGAAATACGACGAAAGCTTCCGAGTAGATATATACATGTATATATAATTTTATTTATAGGTATTACGTTTGTAAAACTTGTACGAACTTGCCAATCCAATGATATAAATACAGACGATTTCATAACGTTGCTTCAATTTTGCTGTATCACTCGAGATAGAAAGAAGTAGATGAAAACGTTTCACGCTGTTTAGAATATTACAGTAAAATATATTTAATATATATATATATATATATAATTGTATCATATTTATAGCATTAAATTTTGTTAATTAATATTAGGTTGAAATTTATTTTACTATAACGAAAATTAAACTTCCAGACAACCACGAATGATCTGGCATATGTCATACGCTCATTTTTAGGGATGATGACGATTTAAACATATTTTCTACGTTGTAAAAATAATAATTGGAGAAAAAATAATGGTATAAATAAGTCGAAGTCTTTTTAGTAGCTAGCTTATTATAACATAAGACAGTACAGGGTTCACATGATTTGTTATTATCATTTTTTCGCTTGAAACGTATACTTGAAACATTGATACAATGAAAAAATATATGTGCGAGTGTTATTAACATTTTTTTTAAATTGTTTTACAGAAAACATGTTTGAGCTCCAGGATTCAAACTCGACGATAAATTTGTTATTTACAATGGATGAAAATACAGTGCAAGTTGTGCCGACGAATCAATCCGGCACCATTACAATAGATAGCAACGGATATATTCACGGAATACCCACGTGCGTTACATCATGTGATACTGTAGATGATACTGAAATCAGCAACGCATATAACAGCGGTGCTACAAACTTTTTAAGCGCTGATGCAATGGACATTACAGGGTACGAGCAAGTACAAACAGTTGCTGACCCATCTTCGATTATGGAAATGTACAACATAAAGGACAAAGACCTAGCGGATGCTGCGGCAAAGGCTATGGTAGACGGCAATATGACGCCTTTGATTAAGGAGGAATTAAAGTGCTCCATTCAGTCAAAGAGATTAAAAGCTGGAAAACCAGAACTGAAAGTAGAATTCACAGATCCAGAACCGTGTCAGGTTAGCAATTTTTTTCATTTTTTCAAATCTGTTTGTCACATCTAGTTCTGGTTTCCATAATTTTATATGTTGCTTGTATTTTGACCTGTTCGCTGAAGTCTCTTTAGCTGTCACATCTCGTGTTGTTGGTAGACCCCTACTCATATATAACAATTAATGATTAAACATATCATTTTATTTGTAAATGTAATGTATTAAATGTGCTTTTTTCTGAAAATATAAATGACAATAATTATTAAAGGGGATGTATTTCATCAGAATTTCGGAAAAGCAGTGCAATATTCTAGAAATAATTACATGTATATACTTTTAAATAAATGTGTTCTTTTTTAGATAATTTAATGTTAATAAAGTGGATATCTATTTTGTTATCAAGTTTTATTTTATCGAAAAACCGACTACAATCATTACAATTTATTTGGATTTTAAGAAGTGTACCTGCATGGGGCTTCACAACCCAAGTGTATGTGGTTACATAAATTAGTTACACTCAAGGGAGTTGGAAGTTATATACTTATTTTTATTTCAGTTAACGGAAACAGAGCAGATGAAGGTAGAAAAAAGAAAAATCCAGAATCGGTTAGCAGCGCAAAGGTTTCGTAATAAACAGAGAATAAGAGGGGACCAGCTACACAAGGTAAGGTGGCTGAATCTGGACCGAGTACCAGTAAAGATTGGTTCAGTTGAATTTTAAAAGAATTGATGAATTGCAGCGTTCCCGCCATTTAAGTGTTTTTGTTATAAGAGAAAATGAACTTCAATAACGTTTAAGTGAGTTCATGTATTTTTTCAACTTCAATAACGTCTAAGTGAGTTCTCGACTTTTTTTTTTTGAAAAAAAAGTAAAGGTATTGTTATAGTCGGGTCGGCGTTGCCGTACGTTGCCGTTGCCGTCCGCAAACTTGTACCTGGATCATAACTTTTTTATTTCTTGGTGTATTGTCTTCATACTTGGCCACAACAACCCTTGGGACAAGACCTTTCAGTAGACCACACTAACCTTGACCTTCATCCATAAATGACCTTGACCTTCAAGGTTAAAAGTCCAATTTTTGCTTGTTAATGCTGTTATTGGCTGTAACTTTGTTATTTTTGAATGGATTGTCTTCAAACTTGAACATAATAATCTTCAAGGATATCCCTTAAAAATAACTAGCCAGACCTTGACCTTCACTCATAAATGACCTTGACTTTGAAGGTCAAATTATTGAAATTTTCATTTTTTTGGCTATTATTGGCTGTAACTTTGTTATTTTTGAATGGATTGTCTTCAAACTTGAACATAATTATATTCATGGATATCCCTTAAAAATAACTAGACAGACCTTGACCTTCACTCATAAATGACCTTGACTTTGAAGGTCAAATTATTGAAATATTCATTTTTTTGGCTATTATTGGCTGTAACTTTGTTATTTTTGAATGGATTGTCTTGAAACTTTAACATAATAAGTTTCAAAGATAACTGTTAAAAATATATCGAAAGACCTTGACCTTCACTCATTTATGACATTGTCTTTGAAGGTCAAATTATTGAAATTTTCATTGTTTTGGCGGTGACTGACTGTAACTTTGCTATTATTGAAGGGATCAACTTCATATTATAACAGAACATTGTTAAGGACCAGACCTTGTTGTTTATCAAACCCAAATTTGCTTGGGCTCTTTAATGACCTTGACCTTGAAGGTTAAATTACTGAATTTTCTCAGATTTGTGCATTAAATGACCATAATTATATATTTATTGGTGTGTGTGTTTATATATATTTATATATATTTATATATATACATACATATCTATCATCATCATCATCATCAACAACAACAACAACAACGTGTTTCTATTTATAGAATTGCGTCATGTTTCTATTTATAGAAATTGCGTCATGTTTCTATTTATAGAAATTGCGTCATGTTTCTATTTATAGAAATTGCGTCATGTTTCTATTTATAGAATTGCGTCATGTTTCTATTTATAGAATTGCGTCATGTTTCTATTTATAGAATTGCGTCATGTTTCTATTTATAGAAATTGCGTCATGTTTCTATTTATAGAAATTGCGTCATGTTTCTATTTATAGAAATTGCGTCATGTTTCTATTTATAGAAATTGCGTCATGTTTCTATTTATAGAAATTGCGTCATGTTTCTATTTATAGAAATTGCCAATTGTCATGTTTCTATTTATAGAATTGCGTCATGTTTCTATTTATAGAAATTGCGTCATGTTTCTATTTATAGAATTGCGTCATGTTTCTATTTATAGAAATTGCGTCTTGTTTCTATTTATAGAAATTGCGTCATTTTTCTACTTATAGAAATTGCGTCATGTTTCTATTTATAGAAATTGCGTCATGTTTCTATTTATAGAAATTGCGTCATGTTTCTATTTTTAGAAATTGCGTCATGTTTCTATTCATAAGATATGTTCAAACCTTTCTATGTTTGCGTTTAGAAAAAGTAAAAAGTCGAGCGTTGCCCCGGCCCGGCGGTGGCTCTTGTTTCAACTTTAATAACGTCTAAGTAAGTTCATGTATTTTTTTCCAGTTTTATCGGATAACTTATTTAACAAAGTGCTGTTCTTTTTCAGGAATGTCTGAAGCTACAGTCGGTACAGACTCAACTAAGATTCGAACTTTCTCAGGTAAAGAAAGAACGCGACGAGCTGAAACAAAAGTTGCAGGACCATTACGCAATATGTCCATTGCGATATACTACGCAATATTACAATCAGCAAAACAGCACAGGGTGAATAAATTGAACGTGCGCGAATCATCCAACCAAAAACAGATGAAAACTATACCAAAAAAAGTTTTGTAATGTATCATTTACATAGCTTTATATAACAGGAGCTTTTTTTCAGAAGTCACCTATTTATATCGAAGCTGTACTGATATGTGGTGGGAGTGGAGACTTAGACAACTTCCGGTTAAAAATGTTGACTGCGGGCACTTTAATACAGTGAATTAATAAACAATGTTATCCGGAGCACGTGCGTGTGTCAGTGACGGATAAATGTGTGATTCTAAGTGATAAATGATTATTGGTCATTCTGGAAAAAAAAACAACAGATGAGTAAAATAAAACAGTGATCTGAGACACATGTGCGCACTTTTCTATGGAAAGTTCACACATATATTCATTAAGACTCTGTCATGTGACTGCTATTGAATTCTGATTGGACAGTTGAATGTTTCAAATATGCCATATATACCTCCGTATCAAAACATATTGTTTTAATTACTAGATTTTATGCAATGTATGTTTTTCTTTCCTAAAAACTTGACATATTTTTATGTTTCTATAATTTGATGAGTCTTGTTAATTATCACACAGCTTTCTTACCTTCTGAACAGATAAACAGAATTTATCTAGCTTCTATTCTGGTGCCATGTTCATTGTCTTTCAAAATACATGTATAGTATACATTTTTTTTATATAATTATATATCGATGTTATTTAATTAAAACTGTTTTCATTTTGTGTATAGTCAGATTTGAAACTTCGCATCAAGTATTATTTTCATTGCACGTGTTATTGATTGATCGTTCATTACAATACTCTATGAAATCCATTGTTGTGTTTTATACTGCGGGTTACTTTTTTAAAAAAAAATAAATCTTTAATTGAACACTTATTCTTTTGTTAATTATCTATTTCCTGACCAACTTTTCTTTACTGTTTATTGAAACCGTGGGAAAAGATTAGTAGTGTTTCTAACTGAGTAATTATAATTATACAGTATATAATGTGGTCAATATATATGTTAAGGAGAGATTTATTGTATAATAGATCATGATTAATTGAAATTGAACTGTCCGTAAATGCATAACATGTATTGATATGAATTTACTATTATGTTAATAACATGTTAAAATCTATAACACATGCTCAGAATATGATATTTTGTTAAGGTGACTTATAGGTCCTATGGGCCGGGTGTTCATCTTTGTGTATTTATGTGTATGTATATACGTATAACACATGTCACTATAATAAAGAATTTACTTACTTACTTACTTACTTACTTATAGACCGCTTGGTTAAGAAGCCTGCCGTGCAACTAATGTTCCGTGGGTTCGAGCCCTACTTTGTGTCAAGAACAAGTGGATAGTTCCAGAAATCAGATTTGGTAGTGATTGACTTTAAAATCGAGAATAAAAACACGGAAGAATGTTTCACCTATTGATGCCAATCGCATGTTTTCGGCCCTTTCCGTCAGTCTTCGGGTTATTATGAATAATAGCCAAGTTCCGATTGCTCTTGACGGATATTCATGTTGTTCATTGAAAATGTAGTTAAGTCTTCCATTCATTCAACACACATTGAATGAGTTACTATAATATAATATCTACAAGAGACACTTTATTCAACTATTGTTAGGCTAAAGATATAATACTTTTCTTTCCTGTGGTGGTCACACTAATTATTTACACACTATGCCTATGAATAACTTCTACATTAAACATATGACGAGTTTAACGTATCTAAATGACTAATAATCATTCTTACATTATTAATGCATTATTTCAGCCTTTAGACTTGTGTAGCCTCAAGTATAAATCAGATTACCGAGTGTTTTGTTGTATCATAGGAAAAAATCCCTGTCGCCCATTATAAAACCCTAGAGAAAATAACCATTGTACGAACTTTTCTATCGTTATCCCTTTTCCTGTCGTCACAATAATAAAACCCCGGAAAAAAATTGACCCAATTGACAAGCATGCTCTATTTTAAGCGCACTTTTCCGGGCCTGCAGCATTTTTAATTTGGGTGTTCTTTAGGACTTCCGTTTTTTCTCTCTCTTTCTAAAAATGATTAAACAATATGGGTTATTTGTTTCATACAAATACAAAGTAGATAAACAAAATTACTTCCTGTTTTCATAAGAAAGGTTGGGCCTTGTACAGTGACCGGAAGTACAATGTACATCGTAGCAAGTGATTCTTAAAGCAGCATGCCCACAGATTCAAACTAATTTGAATTTGAAAGTAAAATATTGTGAAGTGAAGAAAGAAACCAATTTACACATTGCAACCATCACTTACAATCAACGTAAATTACAAAAAAAAAGATGTCAACCTAAGCAAAAGTAGCTCTTACTGCGTTAGTCACGCAACAGAATTATGGTACATGTAATAAATACTTTAAAATCAGTCATTTATCACATAACATTAAAATTCTTACTTGAAATCTGATTTTTTTTATTTTTCCTAAAATGTAAGTACATTTTTAAGCTTGTTTTTCTTGAAATATTTTGGGTTAACTGGAGGCAAGCGGCTTTAAAGCAAAGCATGGCAAACATTTAATTTGATTAGGCTTTGAGTGTGATTTACCCTCTGTGAAATAGACTATTTTAGACACAATTGGTTAAGTTAATGATAAAATTCTTAAATATAGTATCTTTGATATAAGATCATATGAACTGACCACAAACGTGATTCCAAGTCACAAGGCCACTTATATATTCTGTCAGTTGATTGTTTTTCAATTCACACATAAAAAACCCATAAACAAACAAAATAACAAAACCAAAAAAAAGAAAACCTCAAAGAAAAAGAATGTTAAATGCATAAATGGTGTAATACAATACATGAATTACATGTAATTTTATAGTTGACAAAATATATTTGAATATAATATGGGGAATTTCAAACAAATTCTTGAATGTTAAAAATTTATTACAGTTACTTGTCAAACAATGGACCAAATATTTTACATTGTTTTATACTTAAGTAACCTGTATTCTTTTTCACAGACCAAATATAGAAATTTCAGGATCCTACATGTAAATGATCCTTATTATAATAATCAATCAAACTTGTGACATACATTTGTATTGATTATATTATTTGCTTTTTTGGTTTTTATAGCACATTTTAGGTCATATGGTATTGAAACAAGAAAAATGATTTTGGCTTACCAGCATGGGTGTTTCAAACTTTAAGCTACAAGAGGGGTCAAAACGACCTCTAGTACTAAGAGATGCATAGACTCCAGTTATTCAAACCCATTTAGTCGCCTCTTACAGGGATAAACGATGGCTTTATTTCGGATGCCTCAACCCTTAAAAGGAACCCTGAGCAACAATTAAGAGTGTTGTCATGTTTTGAATTTGAAACTAATGTAAATGTAAGAAATTTTGGGCTGAGAGTTTATAAATGTGTACCCAACAGTTCTTTGTCTGTTAAGTAGCCTTCATGGTTGTTCAGGCTGGGCCCAGGGTCAGACCTGTTGGGGGAAGGGTAAAGACAAGATATTTCACTTCTGTATGTTCTAACAATAGCTTTTTTTATTTCTTAATTCGTGTTTCCTAAATTTTTCAATATAAAGCCTATTTTACGGTACTTTTTTTCTTCTTCAAATTTTATCAAATATTTTGTGCAGAGCATTTTGATTAAAAAAAATTCATAATATTTCTTAGTTTTATTACCTCTCTTTACCTGATTATCATACATGTAAATGTATTTGGTTTTATTACAACATTACTATTTTAATTTATGTATTGAAAAAACAATTTTCATTATACAACTTAAAAGTATCAATTTTGATCTATATTTATGTAAACTAAATTAAGACTTAAATGGAGGTTACAGCATTTTCTGTATGTTATTGTTTTTCATTTATGATGAAGACATGTTTAATTTAAGTTGTAATTGGTAAATTGTGTTTTCTAGATTTTTTTTTTATATAATTAATAATAACTTCGAAAATACGTACCCACTTAAAAGACCTAATTTCAATCATAAAGACTTAGAAAGTATTACAGTAAAAAAAAACCTCTGAAAAGACTCTGACTCAAAAAATTTGGCAACTTTACAATAGGAATCCTACTTTACAAAATCCGTCTGAATAATCTAATACATGTACTTATTTTTAGTTTTTCTTAAAAAATAGGGAAAGACAAAAAGCCCCTTTAATTACATTGGCATATCTTAATTTATATCTGGAAAATACAGGTAGTGCAAATTTTTATTAAAGGCATAAAGGCAAAATAAAAAATTATAAAAAAAAGAGAGAGAAAGAAAGAAATTATTAAAAATTTAAGTAACAATTTAATGATCTATCTAATAATATTTATTACCAACAATGAGATATAATGCATATTACTCATAGTACATTAATCACTGTAAAACCGTCTTTTAAAGCCAAGCTCAGTAATACCTTCATTTATAGCCAAGAACAGAAAAGAACATTTATTTATTTGAATAAAAACTTCCTGTTTAAACTTCAATCTAAAGAAAGCCATACCATTATGTTTATTGCTGTGAAAGATAACAAAAAAGGTCCTGACCTTTCACCATTGCACATCAGGCTGGGTTTTAACCTTTCCTATTTATAAACTTCAATCTTAAGAAAGCCATATCATTATGTTTATTGCAGTGAAAGATAACATTAAAGGTCCTGACCTTTCACCATTGCACATCAGGCCTTAAACATTCTAGAAATGAAAGTGATCAGCCTTAAAGGTACAGAACCTGGCCAGCCTGTACATCTGCACAGTCTGATTAGGCTCTAAACCATTGGCAGGATAACTTTAAATTTTATCTTAATATCCCCTAAATTTGTAAATATGACAGTCCCAATAATGGAACCTGGGCAGGTCCATTAAAAAAATTCAGCTGCTTAAATTAAATCATTACTCTATATCATGGCAACTTCCCCACCATTACAGATGGAGGATAATCTTCTCTGTACATTATAACATGCATGGAGAAGCACCTAGGTGGAAAATACCTCCTCAAATAAGCTGGACAAAAGTATTTTTTCACACAGAAGACTTCCCTCAGTCTAAGATGGATTTATAATCCACAGTTAAACTGGGTACTGTTATTTCCTTAAGCAAGAAACTCTACATTGTGATTGCTCAGTACCAGTTGGTTCCAGCAACAGTTCTGAAAGTGCGTCTATAAGCTTTAAGCTTCCTATACAAGCGAACTAAAACAACTTCTGTATAAACCAAAGCAACATTTTGGACAAAAAAAAAAGATACTTAAAAACATGCACACATGTACAATGTATATAGCATTCTATAGTAATTGATTCAGGTCATTGAATAACAAACCAACA